ACGATCTGCTAGTGTACAAGCGTTACCAAGAGAGCTGTTCAATGAAAGTGATGTTGTTGGACAAACTGTACAAACATCAAGAAAACGCTATAATTCAAGACTTTCAACTGATAGTGAATCTGATGAGGATTGTATTCCAGTTACTTCTGAGGAGAAGGCTGTCCTGTGTAATAGTTTACGTGATAATAATATTATTCATCAACAAGTACAATTACATTACAATGCTCAATCTCCATTTCAACCATCTTGTGTTTTTGATACTGTGCCGAAAAGTGTGATCGAAAATTCATTTAACAAGAAACGGACACGTTCTACTGTAAGTTTACTACGTTACATTGCCTATTTTCTTCATATAGTACAAACTGTAATTTTGTGGTATGGTGGATAAGTGGTTTAGGTGTTCAACTTTCAACCACTATGTTTTATGTCTGAGTCCCGGTCCACATAGATAGGGTTGAGGAGCCGGGTGATGCCATTAGTCTCCACACAGAATGTGACTCAAAACTGAGTACACGGATGTTATTCATTTGGGTGTACACGAGGAGACCGTCAACATCATCCGGAATTCATACGACGGACTACACTGCAATGCTGTGCATGGAGGACAGCTGACAGACGCATTTCAAGTGAGGACCGGAGTCAGATGAGACTGGTTACTTTCGCTCTTCCTCCTTCTTATGGCGCCCGACCGGATTATGAAGACCTACATATCTCAGGGTAAGCATGGAACACGATGGACAGCTTGTGTACATTTAGACGATTTGGACTTCGCAGATGACCTAGCCCTTCTATCACATACACAGTGACAAATGCAGGTGAGAACAGTCAGTATAGCAGCAGTCTCTGCCTCAGTAGGCCTCAACATACACAAGGGAAGAAGCAAGATCCTGAAATACAACACAGAGTGCAGCAACCAAATCACATTTGATGGAGAAGCTCTTTAACAGGTGGAAATGTATACGTACCTGGCCAGCATGATTGGTAAGCAAGGAAGATCTAATGCAGATGTGAAGGAAATGATTGGCAAAGTGAGGTTAGCATTTCTAGAGCTGAAAAACATCTGGAACTCAAAGCAACTGCCAACCAATATCAAAGCCAGAATCTTAAATACGAACATTAAGACAGTTGTATTGTATGGAGCTGAAACGTGCAGAACTACCACAACCATAATAAAAAACATACAAGTATTTATAAACAATTGTCCACATAAGATACTCAATGTCCGTTGACCGGATACCATCGGCAACAGCCTACTGTATGAGAAAACAAACCAACTTCCATTTGAGGAGGAAATTAGGAAAAGACTCTGGGAGTGGGTAGGACACATATTGAAGAAACTATCAAAGTGCATCACGAGGCAAGCACTAACTTGGAATCCTGAAGGGAAGAGGAAAAAAGGTAGGTCAAGGAGCGCGTTGCGTCAGGAATTAAAGCCAGTCATTAAATGAATGAACAGAACGTGGAAACAATAGGAATGGAGAGCTGAAGGTAGAGTTGGTTGGAAAATCGTAGTCCGCGGTGCGTATTCGTATGAAAGATAGCATATGTAAGTAAGACTATCAAACTCACAAATCTGTCACTACAAAATTATTGGAAAACTAAATGTGTACAGTGGTCTTAATCTACCTAAGCAAAATGTTTTCTCTATAGAAACAACTTTGATTGGGTTCTTTATCAGTCCTCCTAGGAAGGCTTCAAATTGTCTATTTTCCCCTTGTAAGTAATCCTGCTGATCATGTGTATTTTCGGGATGTCTACTTGTAAATTCAATGAAGTTTGTGACATTTGCATTTGTGCAGCATGGTCATGTAATGTACTTTTGTTCTAAGATAAAATAGTTTTGTGATTTGCGTTCAATTGTCTCATTTTAGAGCACCCATAATCGCCATTCGTTTAACACTACGAGAAGCCTTGAAAGCAAAGGTATCAAACGCAATACTTCTAAGGAAAACAGTTCTAGACAACAAATGCCTGCAGCACATCAAAAACTGGAGGTCAGAGCTCTTACTCCGACTCGACGAGTTCAACATATTCGATCACGGAGTGGACCAAAACCACTTAGTCCAAATCCCGTCGACGTTCAGTCGGACCCATTCCAATCAGCTGCTTACTACTGATAGGATAAGTTTGTCGGGAGATCACACGTTGTTAGTCTTTCGATGTATAATATTTACTGTTATCATCAGTGGACGATTTCAAATCAATAATTATTTTTTCCTAAATCGCTGTACACAATATGAATTGTTTTTTTCTCCTGTCCCTAATTCGGATGGTTCATTTTCTATTGACTCTTACGTTAACCTGTGAAAATCTTTGTCATGTCACGTTTTGTCTGTCTCTTTTAGATTGAGAAGAATAGTCACCAGCAACACACATTTAACTTATCCATCTCAATTTTCATCCAATCATGCACTATCGTTTTCATTAATAGAGCAGAACTATCACAGTTTTATAGACAGAACAAATATCTTTCATGATCGACAAGTTCCTTGTCTACGCGTGTTGTTTTCATTTTGTGTCTCGGCACATGCGGTCTACCAGTATTCACATTACTACATTATTCGCTCACTCCAGAGAAATTCTTGCTTGCATAAGGTAACATTCACAGAAAACAAACTGCCAAATTAAGTAGACCGTACTATCACGTATTTTGTGATTTATGCCTCGAATAGGTAAGAATTATCTCAATTCTGTCTGACTCATGATTCACATGAGTTACATTTATATACATTTCGTAAGCATTAAGTGAACTAAAAGTGGAACAGACTGGCTGATGAGTGGGTTCAAGGAATTCATAGTTTCCCCCCTTACTATGTGATCTTGCAAATTATCTAATGTGTTTTATGCCTTTTTATTTCCATGTGTATGTTACGTTCAGTTGTTAAAGATTTTTTCTTTCGTTTTTCTCTTTGTCTATAAAATCGAAGTGATATTTTTCTTTGAGCACGAATGTGATGATACATTGTTCATAATCATAAGCAATATTTAATTTGATTGTTTTAGTGTAATTAGTAGTGCTATTATATTTCTAGGTGATGAGTTGCAGAATTCAGTAGTGTTTCTGCATCGGTCCAAGTTGCCACACCTCATTAGCGCTTGTTAAGACATTGTACGAAAAAATCAAAGCGACTAATTGTTTCCATTAATAAATGAACAGAAACAGTATTCAGTAAGAGATACAGTTCAGTTGAAAATTGACAAAGCGATCAAAGATTAAGCCTGACAGTCAGGGCTGTACATCTCAAACCACTGCATTGCACAATCTCTAGAGCTCTAACTGGAGAGTAATGATGAGACGACTGATCCCGGTCTCATACGGCCATTACTTCTTCGTCTACAACCTCACAACTTCGTTTTTCTTAAGTACGAATGAACAAGAAACAACAGTCACCCAGGATAAAATCTTCGATACCGTCATTGTTCAGTAGGGTTGAAAAATGCATCTTTTTTCTCGTACTATGATCCAACATTTCATATTGCAATAGTAGCCGTCTTTATTCCCAAAAATCTCTAGTGAAATGCTTGTGTATAGCAGGATATGAGCAAACTCGTGTTAATGGATACGGAGGATCCATCTGGGGGATTTGGGGAACCCTGATTCCGAACCTGTGGTGCATATAGACTCAAGGATCCCGAGACAGAAACTGCCGTATGAAACTGTTGTTGATCACCGGCGACCGTGGGATTGTGTCCTGACGTTTACCCACTGCTTTGTGGATTAGACCTCTAGGTCAAAGGCTCGGGAGGTGACTTCCTGAGAAAACCACCTGCTTCAGTTTGGGCGCCCGGACAATATTCCAGCCCTTACACAAGTCGAATGACGAAATGCGGCACATAAACATTTGGTGCCTCCCTGTACCAATGTTCATGTGTTTACATAAATAAATAGAAACCACTTAATATTTACAATCAAGTATTGTGATTATCACGTCAAATGTATCCAGGGTATCTGGATCTAAGTTATAAGCTTTTACCAGTTAGGTGAAGTTGATCCAGACCCTACCTTATATCTCGGTCAATATTACTAACTGTTGAAGTATCATCTAAAATTATCAGTCCGACCTTCCTGTTACCTCTCTCTTGGTTAGTCTTCAGATTGTTGATGGGCAGTGAAAAATTGAAGTAGATGGAAGTCAATTGAGCTATTACTTAATTTATCTCTAATTAACAAAGTCCTTTTATCTCAGTGCATTACTGAATCGTTTTTCTTAGTCTCTTTACTAACAACTGATACCCGGAGTCTTAGCTATATGATGAGTCTGAACAACTGTTTAATATTAGCTATAAACCCTATCTTTTCAACTATATCACTTTCATCGCACAGCATAATTGTACAGCAGCTGTCAGTCCATGTATACATCGCATCAACTCATCGTGTTTAAAACCTGCCGAAATGTATTTTTTTTTAAGCATCCACCCAGTCACTAAAGACTTCCAGAGTTGACTGAACCACTTTAACTCTGCAGTTTTTGTTGCTAACGGACACCAGTACTGGTATTATATCCGTTTTCAGAAGATTTAAAACTATTGCAATGACCAAATAAACTCGTTTATTCATTACAAGTTTGTGTACTAATCTTTGAGACACAGATTTCCTATAAAGAATGATGATGCTGGACTGGATAAATCGAAGTACATGGAATGGGTTTCCGACCTGCAGAACATTAGATGATAATCCAGAGCCTTAACTACTATGTCGTACCTGAACACACTATGAAAAAGTTATGATAAAGATATCATAGAAAATATAATTCATTGAGAATCGCATCTGATAAAATAATGAAGACATACTTTTTGTCGAAACAATATCACAACGGCTTTTAAGATTGTTCTGAGAAATAGTAGACTGTATATCAAATTACATGATTCGAAAACACGGCAAAAAAGAACTATCTACATTGATTTGATGATCAGCAAAATAGAAAAGAAAATATGAAAGCACGTAAACGAAGCCAACTAAATATTGAGTTATTCATTGGACTGCTTGAGGTCGACCTATTTCACTTCTTCCTTTCAATTTTGAGCTTTTTTAAATCGTCCAAAACTCTCTCAACCTAGCAAAGAATTGATAAAAAAAGCGTCAAAATAAGTACGATCGCTCACTTACCTTTCGGAAAATACGAAACCGCGGATCAAACATTAGATTAAAACTCATAAGTTGTTTAGGTCCAAGGATGTGCATGTGTAAATGATGGACACTATTGAATGGTGGCCAATGAAATCCAAACCTACAACTTATTTGATATTAAATGATAATTTACAGAAAATCGTCTGGGTCCAATTTCAATTGACTAGTGAGATAATTCTTTCCGCAATTCATCATATCCATAACTGATTTACATGAAGCAAAGCCAGAGTTTACCTAGTGGTATATCTTCATGAGTCAAATATTTAGCGTTCCTTATGTGCTTTTTAGGAACACATTGGAAGTGATACTGAGCTTTCGGTAAGTGATCATGAAATATCACTAAATCATTGGTCTTTCATAAGTGTTCGGAAAAATTATTGATTAACAAGAATAATCAAAACTTACTTCGAAACAGACTGTTTGATTTGTCTTTCCGTAAGCAATGGAGCAAAAAATACAACCATCTTTTGGTGTTAGCATAGATTTTCCTTCCGCCTATGAAAGTTTCAAGGCGAAATGTTTTTATATCTCAGTATATTTAGTAGAAAAAAACAGTGTCCTAATAAAATATTGTCCAGAGAATTGTGCATTAACTGACGATTGAATGGAAAGGATATTACAGGTAACGGATCTATATCCTACTTCCACTAGTTCTCTTTGAGCATTTCAGTAGAATAGGCTATCAAACAAAAAGTACGGCGCAAAGACGAACGAATAAACCTATACCTATTGGTGAATAGATAACAGTAAGAAATCATAAAATATTTTCGGTTTGACATTTCTAAACGTGTCAATCTGCTTTAAATAAAATGACTAGTCACTACGAGTATTACGTATTATTTATTTATTTGAACACATAAATATTGGTACAAAAGGGCACCAAATATATATGCGCCACACAAAACCATGGGAATTTGAAGAGGAGAAGGAAAAAGGTGAGGAGTGTTTAAAAAAAAGAGCAATAACGAACAGAATAAGGTAAGGTAGCGTAATAATAATGGGGGAAACGAAAAGGTACAATCAGAAGAAATCTTTCAGTTAAGGAAGATACAACCACTTTTTATGAAGAAAGTAAAAGAAGGTTACAGCAGGATCGCCACTGGCTTCTATTCTGAGCCATATCTGATAACGTCTCTAGCCACTGTGTTGCACCATCTCTCGGACCCCAGCCAGGGAGTCGTGAAGGACCAAAACAAGCCAGTCCTTTGCAGATTTCTTTCATTCCACGACACCATGTCATATACTGACCACCTCTCCGCTTCTTCCAACCAGTTCCAGAGTCGGCAAATAATGCACGACGTGGAATTCTCTGGGACGACATTCGTACATGTCAAAGCCACCGAAGTCGGTGTTTCAAAATGGTGACACAAACTGCATTGTCATCTATGTGCCCGAACACACGATGCCGAACCTCTGCATTACTAACATGGCGTTGCCGCTGGATGTCAGCAATCCTTCGGAGACAACGATGATCAAACACAGAGAGTCGTCTAACGTTATCAACTCGGAGGCCAAGTTTCACAAGCATAGAGCAAAACTGCTCTCACCGACGCGTTGTAGATTCGAACTTTTACAGCCAGACTAACATCACGAATACACTAAAGATGGCCCAGATTGGCATAACCCGCTCTGGCTTTCACTATACATGCAGTGATCTCATCACTCACGCCACCACCAGCACTTATGCAGCTACCTAGATACACGAACTTCTCGACTACTTCTATCTGCTCACCATCCAGGGTGAGTACAGGATTGGAATCCTGCCAGTCTTGTAGAAGTACTTTGCACTAACTATTGCAATAACTTAACCCTTCCTCAAAACCATGGAAAAATTATTAGTACTTCCACTTGAGCCTGCGATAAAAGAGCATATTGATCCATATCAGTTTGCTTACAGATGCAAAGGAAGCACTTTAGATGCTGTTGCTGTTCTGCATCACAATATAGTGTTCAACTTAGAAAAGGGTCAAAAGTATGTTCGATGTGCTTTTCTGGACTATACTTCAGCTTTTGATTCTATACCAAGACAACTTTTACTTAACAAGTTTATCAGCGTCGATACTAACAGCCGGATAACCAATTGACTATGTTCCTGCCTCTCTGGAAGAGAACAGTACACTGTATTTGGAGGAAAGTGTTCAGAGTCTCTATTTTCTCGTGAAGGTGTACAACAAGGAGATGTTCTTTTAACTCTTTTTCTACATGATCTGCCATCTTCCACAGAAAACACTTTTGTGAAATATGCGGATGATCTTACTATTTGTATGCCTATCTCTTCCTCTTTACATCCCATAGAAATGAATGAGTTTTGTCTCGTATTGATTGTTGGTCTGTTGGTAATGGTCTCATACTTAATCGGTCTGAATGTCAAGCTGTTAACTTTAGCATGAGACTTGAACGGAATCTAAACACCATTTTGAGATCCCATAATGCTTGTACCATTGAAGACTCTTTGATAAACACAGTGTCGAAGGTCAATTATCTTGGTGTCACCTTTTCCTCTGATCTGTCTTGGTCTTCCCACGTTTTATTGTTATCGAAGAAGGCTTTCCGTCTGACTTACTACATAAAGAGATTGCATGCTCTCGGGATTACTCGTCATTTACTCTCACAATTTGTCAATTCTTGCATATTACCTATTATTTTTTCCCGGGCTTTTGAGAAAAGACTTTGCTGTATTGCAGAGAGTGCTGAAGGCAGTTAGCAAGATGTGTGGTGAATCTTTCGAAATGATAATTAATGTGGTTGTGGATAGACATTTAAAGTTATGCAAACTCCTGATAGGTGTTATTTTATCAGATACTAACCATCCCCTCCACTATTATCTATCTCCATGTATATCTTCTGGTAGAACGAGACGTAATTACATTAAAATCCATGCACGCAAGCAAAAGTATAAAAGCTGTATAATACCTTACCTAGCAAATATACTCTGTGACGAACAGGTTGTTAGAGTTAACCTAGTCGATAACCTGCATTCTAAACATGTCTCTTATTTGAAAAGTTGTACAGTTTTTCAGGGTTTTTTAATTCTTTTTTTGTATTTGTTACTTTTTTTTGCGTAAATAACTTGTTGAAATACCCTGTGTTGAGAATTCTATATTGTCCTGATATATAATATCGAATGAAGCTATTAATAATAATAATAATAATAAACAGGATTTTTAACGGCTTGAATGCACGATGGACAGTTACCGAATTCATTCTCGATATCTTTGTCCGTTAACGGCCAATAAGCATAACTGCGAGCCAACGATTTCACTTTATTGATTCCATTATAGCCACTGTGAAACTGCTTGAGAACGTTGTAACGTAATAACTTCGGAGTAACGATTTGATCACTGAACATAGTACATGAGTCGACAACCATTAGTGAGTCCCGTCGACGAAAATATTTCAAAAGTTCTCCGTCAAGGCGACTGTTTGATCATTTTGTCGAGGGATAGAATTTAACTGTGCTCAGTGTTTTATCCATTGATTGCGTCATCGAATACACTATGATTTTCTTTCTCAGCTTTTATATTTGCTTTGAGATTCGCCTCTGGGGTTTTTGATTGAGAGCCTATTATTCTTGACAATGCGTCAGCTTGCCCGAAGGCGGTAGTAGACTGATACTTGATCTTGAAGCCGTAACCCAGAAGTGTGGTTGCCCATCGTTGGAGTCGGTTAGCTGTATGAACAGGAATTCCTTTCTTTGATCCCAAAACTGCAAGTAGTGGCTTATGGTCTGTCATTATGGCTAAATGTCGACCATATATCATCTTGTGGAGCTCTTTTACTGTAATGATAATTGATAGGGCCTCTTCCTTAACTTGACTTTAGTTACTTTCAGTCGTCGTCAAAGATCTGGCAGTATGGGAGATAGCTTTTTCAGACACATTAGGAAGAATGCGAGAGACGACTGCGCCCACACCATAGTTAAAAGCATCTGAAGCAGCGACTATCGGTAGCGAAGGATCATAATGTGTCAATAAGAGATTAGAAGTTAGGAGTTGCTTGATTTTCTCGAAAGATGCTTGACAGTCCGCAGACCAATTCCTTCTTGTATTCTTTTCTGGTAGGTGGTTTAGTGGAGCACGTAAACGATGGAGATCGGGGAGGAAGATACCATAATGGCTGACCAATCCCAAGAACGATCGTAGGGTAGTAATGTCCCGGGGTCTAGGCATTGTTCTCACAGCTTCAATGTTCTCTGGATCTTGTCGTCTTACTTCTTTATCTATTATGAACCCAAAGTACCGTACTTGCTGAATATAGAAGTCACACTTTTTCGCTCGGAGGCGAAAGCCATAATCAGCTATGCGTTCTAGTACCTGGTCCAGTTTCTTCTGTATGTCCATTTTGTCTGCCGCCATAATTATGATGTCGTATAGATAAGCTGCTCCCCCTGGAATACCTTGTAACACGGTATCCATAATTTGCTGGAAAATAGAGGGCGCCGTCTTCACTCCAAAAGGTAGTCAGTTATACCGGAACAGACGTTTGTGTGTATTGATCGTCAGGATATATTTGCTTTCATCAGATACCGGGATTTGTAGACACGCGTCTTATAAGTCCAATTTCGCGAAAGACTTGCCACCGTCCAGCTCCGGTAAGGGTAACGGATACTGGTGAGACTGTAGAGCTTCATTTAGTCCAGTAGAGTAGTTTGCACATAGACGGGCGCTTCCATTCGACTTCTAGACCACCACTATTGGTGCAGCCCAGTTCGAGAAGTTCACAGGTTCAATAAGACCCATTTTGTGAAGTCGTTGTAATTCTTGTTCAACTATTGGAAGAGCAGCATAGTGTACAGGTCTTTTAAGTCGAAAGACGGGATTAGCTGCAGATTTAGGGTTAACAATGCTTTGGCCTTCGTACATTCCCTCAATCCTTCTTTAAACACGTTGTGGTGTCATTGTGGCCTGGCATTTTTCTGGCTCCACTCTAAGGTGTCAGTTCTGAATCGTCTGCAGATGCTATTAATAGGATGGTCTTCCACGTTAAGTGTCTCCATAAGATCTAACCCCGTTAGGTCGAGCTCTGGCTTCTTTGTAAGATATACTGTTGAATTCATTGTTACAGTACTTTTAGAGACAGTACAGGGCACTTCCCTAACAATATTTAACTTGCCCCCAAATGCACTGCGTCCTAGTTGTGTTGTTGGGAGAACTGTGGGTCTCCCAATATTCCTCCAAGTTTCTGGGATGATTAGGGTAATGTCAGAAGCCGTATCAAGCTGAAGGCGAGTACGATGCTTATTAATATCTAAGGTTACGTACTTTCTTTGGCGGCACCTTCGTGCTTGATTATGTGATACCAATATTCCTTTTGTCAGTGCGCCGGACCTGTATTTCTTGAAGTAGGGTTTTGCAGAATATCGTTTATGGTTTCTCTTTCTACTGGTTTATATATGGCACTTCCGATGACACTTACTGCAACAATGTTCTTTATATGGGCAGAACCTCTTATAGTGCCAACCTCCACATGCCCAGCATGGA